GTCGACAACCCAAGGGGCTCGTACCGGTCTTAGCATCAAGCAGCAACTCCTGGCACCTTCAGCTATTTCACGAAAGGAGACAGCGGCCAGTCTACAGTCCACCAACTTCATACTGTCTACACCTTAGTTGTTATGACAACGGGAATTGGTGTAGCAAACGGAGGAGCGAACCCGTGGGAAGCCAGCAAGCTCAGATGACGAGGCCGATGGTGACGGGCGGCTGAATAGGAGGGAAGGGAACACGATGAAGACTGCTTTCCATCTCGAGCCTCGCCCAAGTGGGGATCTTTCCAGCAGAGAAGATTGGCTTCACGGAAAGAGAGCACGAAGAGGCTCGGCCGATAAGACGACTGACCGAAGCCATGGGCTACATTTAATTCGATGGCGGCGAAGATTTCGCGACTTCAGGCAGAGCATTAGGAATGCGGCTTGAATGGAATATTATCATTTATTGAGTATAATCATCAGTTCAACTGTTTGAAGGTACAGCGAATAAAAACCATATTGATGTCAAAAAAATAGTACCAAACTTTGCATCATATTTTTTGCGTTGGAAAGATCGAAGAACGAACAAGAACTATCATATACTACTACTACTACTACTACTACTACTACTACAAATAATAATAATAATAATAAATAATAATGATGATAATTATAATAATAGTTATAGTAGCAGCAGTAATAGATAGTATATCCTGCCTTGCGACCGAGTGGTTAAATTGTCCAGCTATCATTCTGCACTTTGACGGTTCGAATCCCGCTGGGGGTGTGGATAAGACCGAGGCGAGGTTGAAACTGCAGTCCACTTCTGCCTGGATGATAACAACTTTTTGGAAAACAAGGCTATGTGAAATTCAAGGTAAACGTCAGCTCTAATCATATGCATGTGGGAAATACCAGTCCTTCATCACTTTAAACGAAATAGAGTGAATTCATATCATATTACTGATTTAACGGTAGTCTCGAAACTGGTATATCCTAAACGAATAAAGATCGGAGATAGGTGACCTTTGAACTTTTGCCTATGATATTAAGCCACCGATGCATACATTAGCCAAATTCCTCAATGAGATGTGAATATGCTTCGTGAGTATCCTCCATTTCTGAAAGAGGATTTTGTTAAACTAAATCCTCCTTAGTTGGCCCAGAGTGTGTCTTTCATTTGTGGAGAAATTTTGAGTTTTGACGAGCTTCTTGCTTCACACATTTGTTAAGCTCGCCTCCATTTTGAGTGAAAGCCTGTATTGAAGAGATTCAAAGGTCACTCGCACCAGAAGACGATGGCGGATCATTCATGGCCAGCTGCCTGTTGGTTTTACTGGAGCATGCTTGTTGACGCTGTTTCCAAGGCAATCTCATTCGATTCCAGTGAAAACGTGCCAAGTTCTCGTTCGAGATATATGATGGGCTTCATTTTTTCAACCATATTCAACCTGACGAATAAGGAAAACTCATTTTTCCCTCTTTTCGTTTGGCCGAAAAGGCCAGTGGAAGTGATTTATAACCGAACCTCGCAGGAAACTGAACAAAGATTGCGCGGAAGCCGTAACTGCTGGATTATGCAAAAGAGGCCTCGGCTCCCCTCCATACAGGCCCGACGAATCCGTGCTGTATGTACGTCTGTCCCGCCGTAAAGGTGATCATTAGAGCCAGAAACCTTTGGCCGCAAATGTGCACCAACACACTGAACCAAGAAAGATGGCCGGCAGCCATTCTAATTTATCATATTTTGTGAAGTTAGTGAAGCAGACCATGATTTTATGGGCTATTCTCGGCTAAATCTACATGCTTGCAGAGGAGTGAAGATAATGCCGTTTAATCAAAGGAATAAATTGACATTTCATCACAAATAATATTGAGGCGCATTTAGTTGTCCGTTTGCATGGGCTCGCAAGTCAGTTGACATGTTGGAGCTCCAAACCAGACTTCCGGTTGGTCGAGCCTCCTCTTCTTACTTGGTGGTTCGTCTGCTTTTTCCAATGACCAAACATAGTTTATACTTACTTTATTGCACTCGTTTCTCCTATTCAAATCGTTGGTTGTTATGCTAATTTCTATCTGTTCCCCAATCTTCTGCTTAGCAATGCAGCTGCTATCTCTTGCAAATACATTATATTTTACATCAGCCTATCTGGTGTCCTGTAGTGACGACATTTTCGGGTACTTTGCAGGCAGTTCTGTGTTAAGCTAACCTTTTATGCATGTGTCGACCAATTTCCTCCACATCGACTCCACCATGTGAGGATAGACTTGCGGCAGCCTGATCAGGAGAAGGGGTGCGAACAATTTCCCGGTGAAAATTATGACCGAGGAATGTGTTAATCTCTCTGTAGGCATGGTCCTTTCGTCCTGACTACTCCGTGGTTCGCCTAACCTTTTTAAATGCAGACAAAATGGTAGCATCAAAAGCTCTGCGTTGCCCTTAATAGTTATCTTCCTCCGTGCCATTTCCTAAAACCGAGGAATAATTGACATTTAATCATAATAGATAATTGCACTGAACTAAAGTTTTTCTTTCACCTTCTCGAGTTTTACATCCGCCAGACGGAAACCTCTTTTTCTGTCATTTAGCCAGATAAGTAGAGGTGGAGAATAAATGAACAAAGAAATAAACTAAGTATGTACTCACCCAACTATGAATTCAATCGTCTCATCTCTTCCATCCCCTCAGATTCCCTTCGCAGTGTCGCCCAAAAGCAAAGTAGACGTCCGTAAATCTGGACAGAAACTAAGCCAGCTGGTCGGCCGAGCCTACAACGAAGTTAAAATTGGTATCAAGCATGAAAAATATGTTCAATCTATCACCAAAACTAAACGCAGTCACATGTATTATTTATTGCAAACGAATCTGTGTGCCCCACACTTCCCGCAGCCGCTACTTTTCACAATGTTTGCGACTCTTGAGCAGACAATATCCATTTGGAGGCCTAGCAGAGGGTTGAGGAAGAGCTCTTTCGTTTCTCACCTTCTTACAAACTTCAGGGTTTCCGCTAAGTCTTTAATCATAATTTACTGTCCCTAAACCCTCCAAGTCCTGCCTCATTTTTCCCTATTACTCATCACTTCTGTAGCAGCATACGCTCCTCGATTGTCTTTGGGCAATTTATAATGCTGCGCAACTTCATGCCTCTTGTCAACCAGTTGGCAAAAATCTTTTTTGAAGTACCTGCAAGTCCACACAGCTCCATTTACCGCTTCAAATGGAACCAAGTTTGCATCTGCTTGCACATGACGGACACTTGAAAGCACAGCACGAGCAGTCCTTCAAGTCTCGCTTCATAGTATTTATTTGGAGTCGCTGAATTGCATATGAGTAGGCCGGCTTAAATGCACATGCCAGCCGCGATGCTTGC